TTATCAAATTTATCCTTCATCCTACTGGCCATCTCCCTTAAATATGCATCCTCACTTTTCATATAATCCAACAAGTACCATTCAATCATCCACACAGATTTAAAGTACAAATTTGCTGTTGGATATTTATATCCAGAAAACAAAGCAGTAATTTCAACAAAAGGTGTCAATAACTCTGAAATTCTAAGAACTCGAGTCCATTCTTCTTCATCCAATGAACATTTAAAATGCTCATCATCCAACTCAAAAGTAATAAAAGCTTATTTATATAAGAGTGCCCTATCAAGCATAGTGTGTGTAGAATTCCACCTAGTAAGGGAATCTAACCATAATCCCTTCCTCAAATCACAACCTGCACGTTTAGCACAATCTTTAAAATTCAAAATTCTAGCCTCAGAAGCAATTATATACTTTATCCCCTCCCTAATTTGCTTAACACTTTCATCAACCAATTTCAAGCCTTCTTGCACAATCAAATTCAAGATATGAGTAGAACATCTAACATGGAAATATTTCCCCCTACACACAGTGGCTTCTTAAGATTAAGTTGATTTTTCAAAATTTCTTGCATATTATCATTAGTTATTGCATTGTCTAATGTAATTGAAAAAATTTTCTCCTCAATCGCCCGCTCTTTAAGCAAGTCATACATAACTTTATACAAATTCCTAGTAGTATAGGGGGGTTGGACATGCACAAAATTCAAAATCAAACTATGCAAATTCCAATCATCATCAACACAGTGTGCAGTTAGACATAGATATCCTTACGTTACAACAGATGTCCACATGTCACAAGTCAAACATATTCTACTAGACAGTTTTTTCAAACTCTCTTTAATCCTCTCTTTCTCCCTTTTATAAATTTTCAAGCAATGATTCTTCACAGTATTCCTACAAATTGGTTTCACTTCTGCATTCAAATACTTCATTAGGTTTCACTTCTGCATTCAAATACTTCATTAATTCCCTAACAGCTTCATGCTCAACCCAAGTAAAAGGATACGCATGCTTAATAACAACCATAGCACCAATTTTTTTCACTAATTTTCTAGAATTATTTAACATCATCTGGAGAGGATCTTTCTGCACTCGACGAGGGCATTTCGGAACATGCCTCCTTATATTCGAAGTGCCATGAGTTCATGTGCAGATGTACTCTTTTCCACAATATTTGCATTTACCTTTTCTTACTCCATCCTTATTCTCTGAAGCAGATATAAGGATGAAATGTTCCCAAACAGCAGAGGTAGAAGCCCATTCAATAGCCCCCCGTGCCTTGGATTTTGCTTGCACCTCAACCTTGACCTCTTTCCCAAGTACAGAGCAAGAACCAATATTGCTTGCATATTCATTATCCTTGCCTTTATCAACATCCACTCTATTCAAAATTTAAACTCATAATTAGAATTTATAACAAACTAAAAAAATAAAAATAGAATCTGTAACAAGCAAATACCAGTGAAAGGGTTTGAGTCTGATTCGGATTCTGATTGTGCAATTACAGATAGCTTTTCAAATTGACCATCTCCATCACTTCTCTTCCTTTTCATCTGTGGCCACCAAAACATGCAAAAATTAAAATAGAAATAGTAGAATTGAGGAAATACAGAGAAGAAAACAATCGTGTAAGATTAAAACATGCAATCAAAAACCACCCATGGTTACCTCGAAGGCTCTCGAAGGCTCTCGAAGGCTTTAGAGAGAATTTGGTGTCGAAGAGAGTACTGTAACTTGTCAGAATCAAAGGAGAAAAGAAGAAGAGGCTGGAGTCGATGCGAGCGACGGTAAGATTTAAGAAACGGTGGAGTTGTCGAGTCAGAGCCTGAAATACTGTATGAACTATGGAGGCTGCAGATTGGAGAATCTGAGGAGAGTTGGAAGAGTTAGAGTTTTTAAAAATATTGGAGGAAGAACAGGAAAGGTCGTGAGATCACTGAGATGATGAGTGGTGGGGTGGGACATTGAGAGTCTGGGATTTTTTTGGCTTCTTGAAGATGGTGAGCTGAGAGAAGTAACCAATTAGGTAAAATTAGCTATTTATTAGGGATTTAGGTGAGATTGAGATTTGAAAATTAAGAAATAAAATATATAAATAATAAATTAAAAAATATTTACTTTTCAGATGGGTAAACGGGTCAAGCCCGTTAACCCGTTGGGTCAACCATTATTGACCCATTACCAGTCGGGTTTTGTTAACGAGTTATTAACGGGTCACGGGTCATGAATATCTGACCCTAACTCGTTTTAAACGGGTGAATAATGGGCGGGTTAACAAGTTGGATAAAAAATTGACAGGTCTATCTGTGTTCATAATCATGAAAATGCAGATTGAAAGGTTTCAAGCTGACTTTGGGGGAAATTTTGTACTTTAGAGGGTTAATTTGGGTTGTTGTAGTTGGTAGAAATGGTAGCCGTTTGGGGTTCTGGGTCTAGTGAGTTGAGGAGCTGGAGATGGGGAGCTCAGCAATAGTTGTGAAATATGTTGAAAGAAGTGATGAAAATAATTTGGGAGGGATTATTAAGGGTTGGGACTTGGTTGATTTTGGCAGAGGGAAAATAGTAATAAGAAGTCCTGGTTTATAAGTTTGAACCAGTGCCCATGATCCATGAATTCAAGTGGGAATGATATAAAGCAATGTTTTGAAAACCGGATCGAATTGATCGGTCGGATCGGTTGAACCAATATCCAGTAATACAAATGGTTCGATTGTATTTTTTAAACCATTTAAACTGTAAATCATTTGAAATCGATAAAAACCATTGAAATTGCTCAAACCGATAAATCATTCGACCGGACGGTTCAATGGTTAGGCATAAAATCTTCAAAATTGTCTCTCGCGGACTTGAACTCACAACTCACAACCCCGAAACTTTAATTTTGACTCTTTACCACTAGAATGATGCCATCTTGATGTCATTGAGTGCTTGAAATTTTATTTATCTAATAGAATTCTCAAAGTTTTTAACTAAATTATTAATGACAACCATGGGATTCGAACACCAATCTCTATGATATGAAACAAATACTCAACCACTTGAAACACAACCTTTTATTTGTTATTTTTTGCTTTACAATATATTTATTCTATTTTTAAAACCACAATTATATTAAAGTTTGTTCTCACTTTCACCTATCAAATCATTCACCTATCAAATCAGTCACCTACCACTGCACTTAACTAACACCTTGTGAAATATTTTATAGAATAATATATTTATAATAGTTTGATCAGCTCGATGGTTTTATTGATTAAACTGATTGAACCGATCAAACCGTGAACCAAAAATTAAAACGGTTTGACTTCCGATTCAGGTTTAAAAACATTGATATAAAGTATTGATTAGTAAGAAAAGTCTACAAGAAACTAATGCATGTTCCTTTGTTGAAGTTAAGGCCTTCTACCTTTGTCCTTTTTTTGTTGGGTATTTTATGATGTTGTCTAATATATTTTAAGCATGCAATCAATGGTATGAACTTTTAGTTTTGTACTGAGTTTGCTTCGTTGCATTAATGTGGCTGTCCAAGTGTCATTTTTGTCAATAAGGACATCGACAAATTGTACTTGAGCAGAATATGTTGATATATGATTTATCTTTTTCCTTTTTTGTGTTTCAGAGCTAGTCTCAACAGTGATGTCGATTAATGCTCTTAAAGATCTCAATAGCCTGCCTGCATCTAAAAGTAAGAACGATGACTCCAGTAGAGGGTGTTTTACAAAACCTTGCAGTGGGAACATGAATGAAAATGTTGAAGAGAAGCAGAGGAGGAAGTCTTCTCCCATTCATGTTAATGGAGCTGCAACTGTAAATTCTGGAGTAGAGGTAACAAATTCAGAAGTAGAATACTTTGAATCTGAGAACTTGAGTGATCTTGAAGACATTGATACAAGTTTAAGGTATAACTCATTGCTTTCCCTTTTTCCTTTTCACTAATATTTGGAAGTAAACTATATGCTAATATGCTTAAATTCCTTTTCACCAATTATGACATCTGCAGACGTTTTCACTGCATTTAATGACCATGTAGTTGATTTATTGGATCCACTGGTACTTCATAGTCACTTCTGCCTTTATTTTTGTTGAATGAATATCTCTTCACTAGTGAATAGTGAGTGAACAACTAATATTGTGAATGTATGCCCAAATATCATCAAATGCAGCTTGTACAGCTTTTACTTAAATCTTCATGAGACGAAATGTTTGTTTGTGAGGCAGCTGAGAGAGCTTTAGAGGCAATGACCAATTGGGTTTCCCCTATTGTTTGTGTTGTCAAAGTTGTAACCCTATCTCAAAAACAGAAATCCACAAATTTGAGCCAAGTCATCAATGTGCTTTTCATGAAGTGTTCCACAATTGGTAAGAAAAGTATGCTTGATTTGTTTACTGCTACTTCATTTGTTTACTAATCATATCACTACTAAAATTCTCCTTTCCACCAACTAAGTATCAGCAACATGGATCCGCTTGTCGGTGATATGAATTTTTACCAACAAAGCCCATGTTGCTAATACTTAAATAGTACACCTTTTACCAAAAAGTGTTTTTCACTTTCAGCAACTTGGTTCTTGTTGCTGAAAGTGATTTTCAGCAACAAGAACCATGTTGCTAAAATTTTTCGGCTACTATTCATGACCGGGTGTTTTACTAATTTCATAAATTAATCAGCAACATGGAGCATGTCGGTGATATGGTTTTTACCGACAAGACCCACTTTGCTGATATTTAAACAGTACACATTCAGCCCAAAAAGTGTTGTTTACTTTTAGCAACATGGTTCTTGTTGCTGAAAGTAAATTTCAGCAACAAGAACTATGTTGCTGAAATTTTCTAGTGGGCTATATCATTAGCAACATATACTATGTTGCTGATATTAATATTAATAATATACCTTATCTTGCTATTATTTATTGACTGGTAGTTGCTATCACCGACAAGAAAAATTTTGCTAAAAAATTATTTTTGACTAGTAGCTCCACCATCCATTATATATACACCTTTCTCATGCCAATACATAAGCCCCTTCCACACTTTATATATGTACACATTATTTTTTAAACTATTAACAAAATTTTTATTGTTGTAATTATATTAATAAATATATTAAATGTTACATGATATTTAATAAAGTAATAAAAAAAATTAAGAAACTAGTTTTTGTTTTGCCCGTGCATTCCATAGTTTTTTTTTTAAAAAAAATTATAATAGAGTTTAGATTTTTTATTATTTTTTTTATCAACTCTTGAGTTTTATAATGATTTTTAATTAAAAAATAAAAAAAATTAAGAAACTAGGTTTTGTTTTGCCCATGCATTCCATAGTTTTTTTTTAAAAAAAAATTATAATAGAGTTTAGATTTATTATTA